TTGACGTCGAATTTTAGCCGTATGCGCACTTGGTGCAAGTCGGCCCGGCGGGAGCCCAGCACCTTATCCGGAATTTGAAAATTGTGTGCAGTAACACACATCGCACCGAGGCGACTAGACGGACGACGTCTACTATACGCGCGTAGTGGACCATATTGGATTGAAAACGGATGTCTGCTACTATTAGTAATACTATTAGTCATTAACCCTAAGTGATATGATCGCACAAAGTCCCATGTCAGTGGATGTCATTGTCAGTAATCTCAATATCTTCCGACGTGCGAACTCGCTCCACGACGGACAAAAAGTTGGCTCGTTTTGGAACTTCGCTCTTTGCTGCCTGCTGCTTTCGCTCGATATCTAGACTAGCAGTGTAGAAGGCGGCTCTTAATGGCATTGTAATCAAACAAAATCATCCTATGATCTATGTTCAGTTTGAAAAAGATGATAATCGAAACATCAAGTCTAAATTTTATCTAGTAATTGTTTAGCATGAATCTTGGGTGGCACAATAATATAGTTTGCCATCTCAACTGATTTTGGCGATTATTCTAAGTGATTGTGAGATTGTTCAAATAAAGCAAAGCATTATATTTCAATCAGATAAGGAGAAATAGCGAAGCCAACTTTAATACAGATCAACTGTTTGAAGTAATCTGGATGTTTTTGGGAAGTGCCTGAAAACTATGATGGAATCTCATTCTCTTGGTACCAACATCAGTAGATTGAGAACTGCTGCTATTGGGAATACTAACAAACAAATGACTCGAGACTCCACCTCCAACTTGAGATCAATTCGACAAAACCACCTGTAAAAGTGAAATCAGTTTCCATCATGTTTGTTTTTTTAAGAAAAAACCTCCTTGATAAACGACACAAGTCGAATCTCAGCGAGCGGCAGGGATTAGAGGCGATGACAACAACTGTTATGGCAAGGGTCACTAACAGCAAATTCACCATGATGTAAATTGCTAAAGAAAATTCTTTGATCAATTGCGGAAATAATTTTCTAATTTACCCAAGGATGGCAACTCTTTAGTCTTAGGTATAGATCGCTCGGCAATTTCCAGAACCGTACACATTGCAAGAATAGCCGAAAGCCCACATCCAATCTGAAAATATCTTATTTCTGACCTCAAGCTCGATATGATAAACTTACTTTTGCCAGATAATCGGATTGATCGAACTTAGACCAAAACATTCCAAGCACACAAAGAAACGTAAGCACGAAGGACGGTATTATTATTGTAACAACGTAGATCAAAGAGAAGCGTCGGATTTGGAACGTGAACAAAGCCTGACCAGCAAAAAATCAAAGCTGGGCTGAGAAAATATCAATCTTACCGAGGGATACGTAAAGTCCTCCTTGCTATCATACAAAGTAAGCACCTCAGGTATGATGTCTTCAACAATCCATTCATTATCACTCTGAAAATTCTTTTCTTGTCCT